ACAAGATAGTCAGAGATACCGCTTGTAGTGGTTCATCTGTCTAGTCAAATGAAGGTCACCCTGGAAGGAACAGCACCTTCTCCAAAGGTTAAAGTGCCTAAGTGGCCTCAGTGGTTTGGAATGCCTTTTATCAGTTTTGGCAAATACCCTAGCTGGAACAGCTGTACACAATCTTTCAACCGCTTGTTTGTAAAACCTTTATCTTTTCCACATTTGGTGGTTTAGAACCTTAGTGTTGTTGCAATGAATTGGGATTTTACGTCACTGTGCTCCTCTATTTAGTTTTTATATAGTTGTTATATAGCTTTTATGTTGTTTTTATGCTTTTATATTGTTTCTATATTGTTTTACATTTTATAAATAAATATATAGCACTAGCAATATTAATAGAAAGAATAAATAGTTCATAGTACATGCCACACAGGAAGAGCACTGTTTTATTAATGTGTTCTCAAAAGCACTTCAAATGTACTTTATTTCTGGAGGAAAACCTAGTCGATATAAAAAGGACTTTCCCACACCTTCTTATTATCTATGCATCAATACCTGTAAGTGTGTTACGGAACATTCTTTCAGGGTAGGAATTGGGTGGAGCTTGGCTAGAACTTTCCCCAGATTTGGAAAGGCAAACTTTTATAGCTATTTCTTCGTTCCTCACTGCAAGTCATTTTAAGATGGCCGTTAGCCAAGTAGGTGATAAGCTGTGATCCCAGCACTGTCATCTCAATTTTATCATCTGTAGAAATCCAGCTGGAAGCAAAGAAGAATTTCTGAATCTGGCAAATAGGAGTTGAGAATTTATGGATTTCTTTGTCTTGCTATTGACTTAAAAGCACCACTGAAAGATGGTCATGAATTCTCAATCCCCATTTTCATTTAAGACGAGTGTTGAAGAAGCTGCATAATAGTCCTTGTCTTTTCTTTAAAACACATAAAAACAAAGCCAGTAGTAGCCATGTTAGCGTGAGGAAAGAATTCCAAACTATTTTCACTTACCAAAAGATTTTTTCTTTCTTTATTGAATAAAGCAGAAGAGGGGAAAAAAAGAATATCAAAAAAAGACGACAAATTTTATGTGTGTGTGTGTGTGTGCACTTTTCATGTGTATGTGTGTATAAAATTTTACATAAAAGTTGACCATATTTCATTGTAATTGTCCATGTATAATCTGCATCCATAGGCAACTTGTTCATATGCTGCAAATACAAAGAGGACTTCAATCTACAGAGTAATTGGGGTTATTCTATTGTTGAAAAATTAAGCTCTTTGCAATAATTAGGGTACTGAGCATCCACTTCCATTGTCCAGCTGCCAATTTCCATGCGATAGGTATATGGTTCAAAGGAATAGTGTGCATCCCAAAATATTAAACATTATTTCAAAGTCAAATTAATATATGTAATCATTTCTTACCAAACATAGTAACTTTAGGACATTGCAAAAACATGTCTTTTAATGAAGCACCATTCTGGTTGCATCTCCAACAACACAATGATTTTACTCATTCCTTTTCTGTACAAACAAAATGGAGTTGAATAATTCTGAAAATATTGTTTTTGTTGTATAAGCCTTAATCTGAGATTTAGTAAGATTTTTGGTATTAAGGTTATTTTTTTTTCATTGTTTAGATAAAATGGGGGTCTCCAGTCCCTTATTCCTTTCAGTCTTTAAAATCTGCATATCAAATTGTTTTATTGGTAACCGATATTTATAAAGACTGACTGTGGGCTTTTTGGTCTGATAGGATTTACTAATCCCTTCTAATAATTTAGGTTTCTGAGGCTGAAAATGGCATTGGTCCAAACTAGATGTCGATAAATATAGTAATTGTAAATACTGCCCAGGGGGGTATGATAAACAATATTTATCTTTTAATATAGAAAAGGATAAAAGCCAATCACCTGCTAGTTGATCTAAAGAAATGATCCCAGCATCTATTCGGATCTTCTGTAAAACCAATGTTTTATCAATTTTGAGAACTAGATTACTCCATAGTGTCAATTTAGCATGAGTAATAATATAACACTGTTTTCAAGTTGAGATAATAACATGAGATATAGCAGCTGTATTATATTTTGAAGCAAAACTTGTCCAATTAACTAAAGGTGCTATATAGGAATATTCCAAAATTTTGGTATATGTTGGTGAAGTGGGCTGCACATCATGAAAACATATGCCTTTTAATAAAATTGGCTAGTGGGAAAAGGTGTTACCAGACTCCTGATTTTTTGTCATGTTATCTGATAAAGAATTCTTGGAAATATGAAATCTTGCAACAATTTAATTGGTTTAATAAATACATCCCCTCACTATGGATAAAAAGCAAAGACAGTCATGTTGGTTCATGATGAAAGAAAATCCAAAATCCACATAAGGGCAAGACCTTCATTGGAAGTGTCCTAAATGCCCCAAAGACTGACTGACTGGGCTTTTTGCTCTGATAGGATTTACTAATTCCTTTTAATAATTTAGGTTTTGTGAGTGGCTTTAGTGACTTTAATTAAGCTTTTTGATTGATTATGTGCCATGAAGTCGTTTTCAACTCCTAGTGGATAGATAGATAGGTAGATAGGTAGAGCTAGATGGTACAAAAAAGCAGGAACTGGAGAAGAAGTTAGGGTCCGGGACATTTTTTTAAATAACAGAACATTGTTTGGGAAGTTTTCTTGCACCACAGCACAATACCATGAAGGGTCTTTTCCCTAGTATGTCCTGAAGACAGCAATTTTATATATATATAAAATTATAAATGATATAACAATATAATATATATTATATATATAAATTATATAACAATATATAAAAAATACAAAATGCAAAAATACAGTAAAAATCATTTATATTAAGAAGAACAATTCACATATTATATTATATTCACATATAATACAGAATTGGTAAGTGGCACTGGCAAGAATTCATCAATCACATCGTCAAAACCTGTCAAAATAAATGTTTTCAATACAGTTGAAAGGAGCAGGTATTGGAAGAATGCTTAGGAAACAAACCATGTCAGCACAGAAACAAGTCTGATCTCAATGTGCATTTCAGCGAGACCACATTTTTTCTGGATGAATCAGAGCTGGCAAATTGGTTAAACATTAGTAAAAGTTGCTCTTTCCAACTGCTACCTCTTAGACTTGCAAAGAAAAAAATGGTTCAGAGCATACCCACACTACATGCCAAGCCTTACTCTGTTGCAAGGTGCTGCTTCATCCAGAATGGACTGAATTACGTTTTAGATGGCCAACTCCCTTAACGTCTCCAGCCTGGATGTCCCGCATCCATTCCTAGATTGCCTCAGACAGGAGTTAATCACTTCCCCTGCCCTTGTAGGCTTGGAAGAGATAGTGTGTCATCCACAGACTGATGAGCTAACAGTCCAAAACTCCAGATGAAGTCACCCGTGGTTTCATGGAGATGGTAAGGAAACAAGTCCTCAGTCACCTTTCAGGCCAAAAGTCATCAGGTGAAACAGGCTTCCACCAATGCCTTCTGAGAATGGCTCTTCAGGAAGGAATAATCCCTTACCATGACCTCCCACCATGATCTCCCACTTAAGTAAAGAAGATCTGGTGCATAACGGTAATTATTAGCATCATTCAATTCAAGAATAACTTACTTAAAAAGGACCTTGCTGCAACCTCCTTATAAAGAGTGGAAACTACCATATCTTAGACAGAGGTGTTGAATTACTTCCTAGAGAAATCAAATTAGACAAATCTAATATGGCTGCTTTAAAGAGCTATGCTGGACAATGATCACGTAAGCCTGGTTTAAATACTTCAGTGAACCTGTCATGTGCTCAATGTCAAGACACTGAAGTCTCCAAGGTGAATCAGCAGAGGGAGAGACATTGATCTCTACCCCTGGCTTGCTAAAAACACGCTGTGGAGAAGGAAAAAGAGGGATGACCCCAACCACTCTTATTAGCAATATGTATCACTCACTCCCCCAAATTCTGAGATGCAAGTCCACTATAGCATTTATATTAGAGTAAAATGTTCTGTATTTATTAGGTCCTTACACACACACATGGATTTTCCCCGTTTTGTACCTTACTACAGTATTTCAGTCAAGAGATGTCCCTTATATTTATGGAAGGCTAGTGGTGGTTGTATCTTAAGTAAGAAAGGAAGGGAACAGACATACCCTGTGCTTTCTGGCTCCTACATTTCTCCCTGTTGAAGAGCTGGTTTTATGTTACAGAAATGACACAATTCTGATACTTCCCCAGAGTCCATCTCATCCCACTCTGGTAATGGGATCCACTCAGCCCCACCATTACCAGAATGGGTGGGGGTGGGGGGCAGTAGTTCTGTGACACAGGACATGGCCTAGAAGGTTCCAGTAAAAGGGTATTACTGTGAGTCTCTTGATGCTGGCTTAGCAATGTAGCCGATACAAATACCAGCTACAGACTCAAGTGTCTGTAACCAACACTTTCTGATTTCACTAATCTTGACAACATCCCGATAAGGTAGGCCATGACAGTTCCGGGTTTTGTAGATAACTAGGAGGCCTTCTGCAAGAGCATAGTGCATTTTCACACTGCGAAAACCTACGCACCATGTGCCACCAGTGGGAAAAGGACACACACACACACACACGAACACGCAGGGGAACTGAACAACTTGAAACAACGCTGGTTTCTCAGAACGCGAGCGGGCCACTCGCTTCGCGCCCGCGGGCAGTTCCGCCGGTAGCACCAACTACTCAGAGGGCGGCGGCGGGTCGCTCTCCAAAGAGCGAGGGACAGAATCTGGTACCCCAAAAAGCGGCCAAAAGTCGGGGAGACGCCATTTTCCCCGACGAAAGGGAGTCGGGCGAGGAAGCAGCCAGAAGACGCACTCCGATTCCGGCCGCAGCCGCGCCCGAGGGCAGGGCGAGGAACTCCTCCGCGGCCGCCGCACCGCAGGAGGGCCCGCGCTCTCGCCCAGGGAGTGGGCGTGGCGGCCACTGACGAGCCCTGCTTGGCCTGGCCCCTTCGGCTGGGAGCTGCCCTCCCGGGGCACTGGGTGGCTTTACGCCGAGTCAGGCAGGCAGTAGGCGGTCGGGCGTTGCACAGGGCTGCGTCTGCTTTGTCTTGGACGCGGGAGCAGCCGCCGCCGCGACATCCGGACGAGCCCGTCTCGGCCAGTTGGAGCACTCCGCCTTGCGGAGGGGGTGCGGGCATAACCAGCCTGCCTTTAAAGCCCCTACGTCGGACCGTGTAGGACCTAAGCAAGCGGCGGTAGCAAGCCTTGCTAGTAGTGATGATCTCACGCGTTCTTCTGGCGGCAGGTAAGCGGAGGGACGGCGGGACTTCGCGCCTGAACGGATGCAAACGCAACTCCTGGGCATGAATGTTGGAGACTGCGCCTTGCCTGGAAGGAGGGCGAGAGGGTCGCTGCGTGGACGAAATAGCTGGGCGCTCTAAGTTATGAAGCTGCGTTGGTCGCCGTACAGGCTGTCGTCTAAGCCAATGTGAGACCTATTTCTGCCTGGTGATGGTACCGAAAATAAAATAAAACATGATTGGTAGTCCATTCACACAGTTGCCTGGCGGTTTTCTGAGAAGCTGTCTGCCCGGTCAGGACTTCTTTGCACTACTGCCAAATTTAGCTTGTTTTGATAGCCAACATGGGGCTATATGATAGCACTGAATCGCTGGGATGGGTGTAGAATATAGGGATGCGTTCTGAGTTCCGTTACCAAATTCTCTGAAATATCTGAGAGACTGTCCTGTAAATAAATTCTTCAAATTACGGAAAGTTTATAACAGTCTTTGATTCTCCGTTTGATAAATTTCTCCTCCTTAAAAAAGTGCTTGAAGGTATTTTCAGATCAGATGTTTCTGTACTAATAGCTAAGTCCCCGAGCTTAAAAGTCTACTAGGCAAATAGTTGCACGAAAGAATATGAGCGTCCCAGTCTGTGCTGTACTTGTTGTGTTAGAGAGTTGGAGGAGAAGCCGTGTGTGTGTGTGTGTGTGTGTGTGTGTGTGTTTGGTGGGCATGTGGTTATGAAAATATGAATACACATACTATACTTAGTACATTTGTGTGCCATTCACATGTAAGTGTGTCTGGCCTTCATTTATATCTTGTTTTGTTCATGCCTTTGTTTTCTGTTGCACTGTGGTTCTATAAATAACTTTGCCCCTCATGCAATGCAAGTTGATTTTGTGTTGTTCTGTGGGAGAATTACATGATAAAGTTCAGCGTTGCAAAAATCTTTTTGGAATTCGACTCCAAGATTTGGATAATGTATTAGAATGCCTAGATTTTCTTTCTTTCTGTTTTGGGGGGGTACTGAAGCATCCTTATTTCTACTTGTAGTTTGTGCCATCCTGGTGAATGGGGAGGGGATTGGCATACTCCAGAATGAAGCTTCCAGGAGAGAAAACAGAGAAGACTTGACAAATCTCCATCTCCGTCCGTCCCCAAAGGCTTTGGCACATGTGGGAGAGAGAGATGGTTTGTTATCCAAAGGAGATAACTTGAGTGAACTGCCTCAAGGTATGCCTAAGAATGCTAATGTTTCTCCTGTTCCCTATACTGTATAAATGGTGTGGCTGTAAGAAACACATACATGAGTGGGTGCATGGCAGATCTCTGAGAGTAATCATTATTGAGAGTGTTACCTTGCATGGTCTCTGGAGAAGGAGTTCATCTATCATTTCTTGGGATCATTGATTTTACTTACATTAACTGGCAGTTACTGATTTTGATTACTTGTATCAATAAATGTAATCATACCTACCTCTGAACTCTGTTGTGGCTTTTGAGAAATTGGGATTGCTGATGCTGGGAGGTGAATATTTTATAAGATCTGGGACATCATTCCAATTTTTGGAATACAATTTTATTATAAAGGACAACATTGGCTTCTATAAACTTTGTTCACTTTTAAATGGATGGAAAAAGGACGGCCAGGCATTCTGAAACATATAAATACATTTTGAAGGCTACGGAAATTCAATAAATAAATAAATATATGTTACTCTGTGTGTGTGTGTTGTTTTGTTTTGTTGTGCATTAGTCCTATCTCTGCTTAAAGAATTGGAAAAAGACCCATGAAATTCTGGGGAATGTTTACAATTTAAAGGGAACAACTTTGTGTCTGGGGATGAAGTATATAGCAAGACCATATGTTGCATTTTTATAATGTAATATAGTAATAGGATAATAGAAAATTAAAGCACCTGTATTTCAGTGAGAGTCATGCGACATTTTTATTGTATTGTTTTATATGTGTGTAATGAATGAGGAATGATTCTTGAGGACAAGTGAGGGAATTACAGTGAAATGATCCCATGGAAATTCTTGCCATATTTGCTTGATGTCAGAGTGTACTGATATTTTAGCCATTCCTTATTTATATGTTCTGAATTATTACCCCAGGGGCCCTAAGATGAGTCAGCCACACATTTCAGTTCTTATCAGTTATTAGGACTGCTACCTCTGCCACCCATGACTTTAAGTCCTCTAGTGAAATACTGCCACTTCTTTTCCACGTGTCCCTGCCATTTGTAGCTTGTATGCTACCCTAATTTCTGGATGGTGTAGTGGTATGGAACAGCTATATAAACTACTGCTATTTGGTTCTCTCTCACTTTCATAGAGATGTAATATGCTCTGATGGTGACTCTTTCTCCTTCACTAATTTTCCTCCAAGGATCTGCAAACTTGGTGACATCAGTATTTCCCTCCCTCTTCCTACTCCTCCTCATCCCATTGACAAAACATCTTTCATCTTATGGAAACATTTTCTAGCCCTGATATTCCATGGCAACAGTATTCTTAAATATAACAAAATAAGTCTTTCTGGTTGGCATTTTCACTACTGTATAGAATTAAAGTCACTGGGAGATTTGAGAAAGGATTAACTGGTGAATAATGGTCCTGGCCATGTAGAATCTATTGCTTGTCCCCTCATGTTAATTGCTTTATGTATGGGTCTGTCCAGACAGAAGTACTAATTTTCCAGTCTGTAAATGCTGTCAATTGATGAGAGGATCCACAAATGACTCACAGTTCCTCTCCCACATAGTGTGGCTCTTCTTACCTTACTGAGTTTAGTCACTAGGCTAAGTTGTGCCATCTGGGGGCGTCTAGCTTGGGTTTCCATTTCGACCTCTTTGCCTATTTATGTCTTGAGATCCTAGCATGTTTTCTGCCAAATACTGATGCCCATGAAATAGTCATTAGCAAATGTGTGGGAAGAACACTGAGCTGCTCTTCCTAACTAGGTTGACCATTCAGCATTTCTTTGGATCCAGATTTTCCATGCAACTAATATTGTCCATCCAGCTGACCTGTTCTGTTTAATCATTGAGAGTCCTTAATTGCTGGGAGTGGGGGAGGAAGAGAAGATAAATCATTCAAAGTGCACCTGCTTTCCTTCTAGTTTCTGAGGACTGGGATATATATTTCATTTACATTTCTGGAAATCTGTTAGGTATATAGTGGATATGGAGTAGTTGAACACCTCTACCTCTCCCTATCACTTTCTAATTGAACTAAGGGTGAGGACCTGTAATTGGGGTCCAGCATCAATAATTTCATGATAAGCAGTGAGCTATGCTGTAAAGACTCCCTCAAGTGAAGCTCAGCTGCTCTTGATAACCCAATGGAAATGCTTTGCTATTGCCTTCTTCCTTGTTTTTTCAACTTCCTAGTCTGATCTACAAACCTTAGGGCTTCCTGGTGGTCTCTCATCCAGATACTAACCAGGTCTGACTCTGCTTAGTGTTTTTGAGATCAGGTAATTGTGGTTTGTAATGTTATTACCTAATGGGAGTTATGAGCAATTGTAACTTTGCTCAATAAGAATGATTTCCTTTTGTTAGTAGTAAACACCCTAGCTATTTACTTTGACAGTTATGCTGCTGAATCTGTTATGCCTATTCTGCCACAAGCTTGGTTTCATGGAACTACAATTTGGGCCAAAGCACAACCATTACACAGTGAAAATCAACACAGTTTAATTGTAACTTTGCACAATGGTACCTTCTCCTTTTCTGTTACAGTCAGGAATGGAGGAGCAGGATAAAGGACAAACAGGGCTCTTAATCTTTTTTCTAATAATTATTTTCCTTTTCCCATAAGATTTTGTCCTGCCTCTTTCTTGATGCATATTGTCCTTTTTTGATAACACGTTGCATGGAGAAAGCAGCTTAACTCTATGTATGACTCCACTGTAAATTTAGCATACTATAAGTCAGCCATTGGTTAATTGTGGCAGACCTACTTTAGCAGGACTACGAACAGCATTAGGCAAAACCCAGAAAAATTAAAGGCAAATAGCAATACAATCTCTTGCTTCTCTGCATTGTGGTCACCAGCATGAACAAAGCAAACATATGCCTTTTCTGAATGTTCTAGTAATGTGTGTGCGAATCCTAAACTCATAATTGAAAACTGCAATTATGCCACAGAAAGCCCTTGAGGTTTCATTGAGGCTAGTAGACATGACAGGAACAAATGTTCTTATGTGAGTCTCAGATGGATCCCACTTTGAATTCTTCAGCTGTCATTCAGGCAATATAGGCTCTACCCAAAATGACAGCTTGGATCTGTCATTTTGCAAACTGTGTTTGGGGAGGGCACAAGGTTAGAGCGTGTCCATCTTACTGTGAATTTTTAGATGAAACCCCATTTTTAGGAGTAGGGGTACATTTATTAAGAGGCATCATAGCAGAACTTAAATTTCTAGAAAAAATGGAAGGGCTAATATTCCCAAGCCTATATTGGCTGGAATATCCTTTGATATTCTAATACATGATAACATGACGTTAGTGTTTTTCCTTCTTTTCCCAGTTGCTTTCATGTCCAAGCCACAAGATCCTGTCACTCCAAATAAAGGAGGGAAGAAAAGAAGGAAGGGAAAGGGAAAGAAGAGAGATCCCTGCTTGGGAAGATACAAGGATTTTTGTATTCATGGAAAATGCAAATATATTAAGAAACTTAAATCTCCATCTTGTATGTAAGTTACTTATACTATTTATATCCTGCAATATTTAATTGCATACAATGAAAGCCATAGCTGTACTGTAGATTTAATTGCTAGTTAAATACATTAGTAGAAGCGCATATATAGAGAGCTATACAGTATATTCAAACTCTCAATTTTTTAAAAAAGGCTAAGAATGGCAGGATATTCCTTTGCATAATGTAGCTTACAAGTAACAGTTGTACTGAGAAAGAACACAGGAAGTTTTTGTTTGTATTCTTCTTTGCAAAGTCATATTCATTATACATTAGGTCTCAAATATTGTAATATGGGCCATGCAGATTCTGGATTTTTAAAATCTGTCAGTATGTCTGCCAAGCATAATTTTGCTTCCAGAAAGACAGATGAATAAATGTGTGCTTTCTAAAAATGTGCTTCTACTAATTTATTTAACTAGCAATTAAATTTTAGGAATTTAGAAACCTAAAGTAACACAAACATTTGTAGTCAGAATGAGAAAAATTGGTACATATGAAACAGGGTTCAGGATATTGATACAGGCATCTTTTGATTCTTGCCTGAATTTCATTAACACTTGTAAGTTGTGAAACCTGAACATGATGCTCATTTTAAGCTTTGACTACATTTTACTGAAGTGGTTTGAATTTATTTGAAAATCACATTCCCTACCCTCCACCCCCAAGACGACAGTTGATTTAGGGTGCTAGATGACATGAAGATAGATGATACAGTGCAACAAATAGGATGGTGGACTAGTGTTGCTTCGAGCTGCATAGTGCTTGACTATGAATGCGAGAGAAAGTTGCCTGATTCACTTATAACTCTAAATCACAATGCCCAGTGCAAAACTCTTTGTTGCATGTTTCAGTTGGATGGATCTGAACAGTTGTAATTATATCAGAGATAGACTGTAAACAGTGGATTTTTATAGTGTGTTCTGGGTAAAAGCTACAACCACAGAAGTATGTGTAGTAGTCATCTGGCTCTCAGCGTAGTGTTACAGTACTATCCAGAAAGATAACTTGACTATACCTGACTACTGTTTTCTTTACAATTCTGTCTCTCATCTCTTCTTTTACTGTTACTCCCTACTTTTATCAGCTGATTTCTGAAGGTTGAAGTTGGCAGATATTAGCTAGGTGCTATTACTTGTTCAAAGCACACAGCCCCAGCTTTTCTACATGCATCACACACACACACAAACCCCTAGAAGGAAAGAACTGAGCTTGTGGGTGTGACACCGTGATGCTGCTTTCATCACTCTGACAAAAGTAGTGAGATCCTGTGGATGCCACTGTACAATTCACATGCATAGTGGCCAGGCTAATCCTTTCCTCAGCCACTGTTTTACCATAAATAGCTCCTCTTCAGCTAATCCAGGAGCTGCTAAAATGCTATAGTGGGAACAGTAGTGTCTGTTTTGCCACTGTACTCCATGTCTAGAGCCAGAAGGAAAAATAAAGCATTGTCTAACTCTTATCTATCTATCTATCTATCTATCTATCTATCTATCTATCTATCTATCTATCTATCTATCTATCATCTAATTAATGTATTAGGACCTCAATTGCCAAAGGAACTCTAGGTGGTTGGGAAGAAATGTGGGCTTGACTCAGAGAAGAGCGAGGGATATTCCAAGCCATTGCAGAAAACTTATCTAAGTCCTGGGACAGTAGAAAGCGTGAGAAAGAATCTAGGGGAAAAAAATCCCTCCAACTCCTGTTTTCTGACCTTGCCTACCTTGAAGGGGTGATAGCAGTGTACACAGTAGAATTAAAACAGAAGAAAAACATTTGCAACAGCTCTCTCTCTCTCTAAGTATACACTTTACATTAGGACAAACAATGCTATAAAACTCACCAAACAGCATTCTGAATCACCCTGCCCTTATGTTACAGTACGTACATTTGTACAGTTTGTGAGTTCAAACTAAGTCTACTGTCAGTTTGGCTTAGCATGGCATGCAGATACATCCTTATTCTTTTTAGGAAGCATATTTCTGTCTGAAAAAAAATGTAACTGTTCTTACTATGGAAGGCAATAAAGTGAGAAAGAATGAATCAGTGAGAAAATATGAATCAGCGAGTGAGAACTGTGAACACACGAATACTCTGCTAAGCCCATTCTTTGATAATTAGAGGAATAAATGCTTAGTTCTTAGAGCAGGGATATACAGCAGGTACGGCTGAAAGCATGAGGTGGTCGATTCCCAGGAAGAAGGAAACCAGGCATGGCTAACCACAGAGAAAAAAGGCGTTTGCTGGAAGGTGAACCAGCTTCTTAGGATGCTCCCTCCCAATTAATAAGATACTAGAGGCAGATGCTTTGCCTTGCAACATGCCTGCTTGCTATCTTTTTATTTTAAAATAATATTTTAAAAAGATTGGGAAGCAAGGGGGTGTCTGTGGCACATCAGTGCTCATGGGCATCATATTGTCTACCCCTGCCTTACAAAGATTTACTTACTTCCTGTCCCTCTGGGGGGCTGCAACTTGGCGTTGGTAATTCTATAAATTCCTTGTACAATAACAATTCTAAACAACAATAACAACAAATTACTTCTGTTTAAAAGAGTACCCTGTGCAGGCTTGGCTGGTTAAAATCTAAATAGATTTCCAGAAGTCTTCTGAAAGAAAACTCTGTACAATTAATTTGTGGGGTGATGACTCTACATGCTCTTGAATGAATTAATATGTATGCTTAGGATGTCAATATACAAAACAATCTTGGCAGAGTGTGGATTACAGTCAGCTACTGAAAATCTCAACAAGAGAGTGGTGGAGAAGAGGCTTGATGGATTGTAAATTGGGAGCATAGCTTTTATTCATTAAACTTAGATGGAAGGAGCCAGGTGTATCAGTAGCAGATGTTATTATAATCCTATGGAATAAGCTTCATGCATTGATTTTTTTTACAAATCTTGAATTCCTAGATGCCAGGAAGACTACCATGGGGAGAGATGCCATGCCCTTAGCCTTCCAGTGGAAAACCGCTTTCACAGTTATGATCGCACAACTATCCTGGCAGTTACAGCAGTGATTCTGTCATCCCTGTGTCTTATCATCATTGTGGTATTATTGATGCTCAGGTAAGTAGTTTGATGGGATTGAGGAGAAGCGTGGAGACCTAGGACTGCCTTCTGCTTGTGATGATTTGAAAGTGTAGGTCTTACGAAGGCAGAATGTATGTGTGTATTTGTATAACCTCTGTTTTTCTGAGGGCCTCTGAGTGGTTTATATTTTGTCTATAGCCTCTCATCCAAAACAGCTTATAAGGCACTTTGATAATAGAAATACTGAGTACACCAGAGTTTAACTGAGATTTGCTTTATTCTATTTCCCCTTGATTTGATTTCCATACACCCTCTGAGAAAGGCACATTATATCTTTATGACAAATAATTTGCTGATAAAACATGAAATGAATTTGAATCCTGTTTTCTTTCTTCTGCTTTGACTGTATGACTTTAGAAATTAATATTCAATTACTTTTTCTATTATTGAGTGGTAATCAGGATGCCTCACAGGAGCCAGCTGGTGAGTTTTAGTGCAAAGTATTTTGTATTTTGTGGTGGTCCTATCCCAAAAAATTTCAGGATGGGATTTCCCATATTAGATCCTCAGGATTAGGAATGGAACAGCCATCAGTCCTCTTTGAATATCTGTGTAGGTTTGGAATTGGTCTTAATCTTTGGGTCTTCTTCTTTTTGGATTATCCAGATGTCACAAACAAGGAGTATATGATGTAGAGAATGAAGAAAAGGTTAAATTGGGCATCACTGTCAATCAATGAACTGTCCAAGAACTGCAAGGTAACCCTTTTAGCATATAACTTCTGGGTAAACTGGGCCTTCTGTTTGTTGGTATGAGGAGAGACTATTTAATGGGTTTGGTCCTTTCCTCTCATGTGGCAAATCAACATAAAGAGGAAATGCCTGTGATACTGGGTTGAATCATAACAATTTCTTTAGAGGCAACTGGGGAATTTAAGAATCCAGAGCTAAATGTTTCTGCTGTTGCATTTTGTTGTCCTGGGCTCTCTTGCCAAGTAATACATCTGCTGAGACCCACTTTATATACAGTAGTGTCCTACCTAGTTGTGAAACATGGGGGAGGAAACAGGACTGTTACAAAAGAGACACCTCAGCCCAAGGGAGGGGGAAGCATAAGAGTAACTCTGCCTTAATTATGCCAGGTCTAAGTTGCTCTGAAGAATTGCTTTAGCAAGCTTTCTAGATTCTGTACTTTCCCCTACCAACTATATAGATCTTTCCAGAAATCTAAGTAATCTTGGTTCCTGAGTTTGCCTGCCTTACAGGGCTTGACACCAGTCAGCCTCTTTGCTATTGCAGTCCAGGCACTTGTTCCAACTTTCTTTTTCTGAAAATTTCAGCAGCTGAGCCACATTTTGTTTTAGGTATACATTATTTACCCCTTTGCCATTCTATGGCAGCTGCTATTTCCTATTTCCGCTGCATTCCTTCAGAGATTGTAGACCACAGTTTGGAATATCAAAACCAAATGTTCTGTTTTTCCTCAGAGACCATTTCCTTTATGGTCATCCTGGATTTTGAAGATAAACACAATCCTCTTACAGCATTTCCCTAATCAGGTTAAACCCTTTAAGCGGGTATAACTGGGTCTGCTGTAGGGGGCTAGCAAGTTGGATGTAGTTAGTTCTGTTGAATTCCATGAGAATTGTAGGCCTCCTGAAGTAGCTGTAGTTTATCCTAATTCTGTTTGGAGGTGGCTGCCAACATAATACTAGGATTGGGTCATTCAAAAATGAATATTATACATCAAATGTTGTGTAGAGTAAATTATTTTTTTAACCTGAGGCATCCTTTCATTACAAATTCAGGTTTTAGCAGTGAAACAAGTTCTACGTTCACAGTCGAATGGATAAAACTCTTTCTAGGACATGCTTAAAGAGGAACTTGTATGAATGAAAAAAAAAAAATTTCAAGGGGATAATGCTTTGTTGAAGAAGCAAGTCATCTCTCTAAATTGGAAGAGCTCTCTGAGAGAGAGAAGCACATTTATTTGTGGAAGACTTGTTCACAACGTGGAGCTATATAGCCCAAGAAGATTTGAGATTTGTCTTCTTACCAGTGGAAATGACACTGTCATGAACCAAGCAAACAATGAACCAGGAAACTGGATTCTTCACAAAATTGCTGATGAATACTGCTCTGAAAAACTGTGAAAAACTCTCCTGAAGAGTTCTTGAACTTTATTTAATCTGAAAAAATATTTAACAAGAGGCTTCATTTTAAGTTATATATTTATTTTAGATACATTGTACATGTTATTTATTTGAGACATAATCCTGTAGTCCTGAAATCAAAGGGAAAGACAGGAGTATTGTGCAGTGTACCACTCTAATAAATAACCCTTTCTTATGCTTGCTGGCACTTGAATCCTGATTTAGAGATTAAAAGCGAAAAGCAACTATTTTTACTGACACAATTTTATGATATCTAACATTTGGCCGAAATATATGCAGTGTGGACTAAAATTCTTATGGGAAATCTATTTGGACCTTGCTTAGAGGTATATATTAATAAAGTTGGCACTCTGATTGAAAACTTCAGAGTATTTCCTCTAGAACAGTTTAAACAATATAACTAATCCTGTTTCTACGGTATAGGGTTTGTTCAGATTTCAGTTCTATTACTGATGCTTTGGCAATGCTGAATTCTGCACTGTGCTTTTTCTAAAGACATTTTTTGGTCAGTATGTAAAGTGTTTGAAACTCAAAGCAGATGTTTTGCTTTATTCTGATGTTTTTATATTTTATTGGATTTCCTTATCTTGTTAGCTCTGGCAGCATACAGTCAGATAGACAGATAAATAGATAGATAGATGATAGATGTTAGCCATTCTGGAAGTGTGTTGAGCTCAGAACATCTCTGTGTTGAGCTTGAAGCAAGTGCTTCGAGTTCCAAATGAGAGGGGAAGAAACTTGAAGCATTTCCAGAATGAACCAAATGCGTTAAGTACATCTGTATTTTTTTGCCAATGGTAATGAATAAACATTTGGACATGGGAGGGACAAATTAAAGTGATGTTGCTGAATTTTAAGCAGGAGGTTTACTACTAAGGGGATAAAATTGAGTGTTGTCCATATCACTTTTGACTCCAGGTAAGGTTCACATGAGTAAGAAATAACACAGAAACCAGGGGAAAAATTCTAATTTAAGCTGCTTCTTGTTTATTTTGTAAATTGCTGAAAATATACTTTTTTTTTTTTGCATGGATGCATACAATTTAGATATAATATTACCAGATCAGCTAGAGATATCTAAACAGTGGTTTATCTTACTTGCTAAACTATAATTAAGTTAGATTGGCATGAAGCCACCTGCTGTGATATGTAAACCATGATTTATGGCTTCTCATGTAGTATATACTACAGGGTTTTACTTCTTTTATGATTTATGCTTAAGCTTTATGCTAAAGCATTGAACTGAAAGTTTACGTAGCAGAGTGAAACATTTTTGTATGACACATTTTGTATAACAGCAAATTAAAAAGGAAATCTTAAATTTATGTGTATTCTTTCACATATAACATACAGAAGTAGCTGATAGACAGCAGATAAGATGGGGAAGGATAAAAAAGAGAAATGAGAATATTCCAGGAGTTGGCTTTTGTCTTCCACTCCTATGTAGTACAATATATCTAATGTTAGCTTTTGTCTATTCCTTATTTCCATCAACCTTTTTAACCAATAGGAGTTAATCAAATAAACTCATTTGAATTACATAATTACAAAGAGGCTCTGTATTTCCCGCATAGCTATCAATTGTATAGGGTTGATGTCTTTAGGATATCCCAAATCTCTGCATTGTTATCATCCTACTCAATCTGTTGGGCTAGTTAGCAACCTCTGAAGTGTTGCCTTGACTAAAGTCGTCTACTAACATGGCTCAAGTTCTGGGACATTCCTCCTCCAACTGTATCAGTTCCAGAGTGTTAGAAGCCCAGCTCTGTCCTCTTTTTATCCTCCAGTGTGTTCAAATACTTTCAGTTAGCAGGATCATTATCCTGTTGAACTTTCTTCATCCAGAATGCATTTGTTCTGCTCTTTGTGCAGTTCTTCAAGGAGGGTCACTCAGGATCTTACTGACAAAGGACTGCATGCTTCTTAGTAGGAGTTGGCATCATGCACAGGCTAAATGCCTCTTGCACACCATCTTGGATCATGGATATCCCATTCCCAGGGCATGGAAGGCTGCCACTCTTGCTCATAAAACTTCATTATAATTTGTTTAAATTGCTTTTTCTGCTTGTTGTCTTCTTTAGTTTCTGCATATTATGAAACTGTATCCAGACTGCAGAAAAGCTGCATCTTGTTGCTTCTCTGTGTTCTTTTTGTTTTGTTCTTCCATGTGGCTTTTTCAAATGTTCCGATTATCCCAGTTGTGTTGTGGGAAGCACTGAAGCTGCAAATCTGTCTCTGCTTTTCCCATTTCCATGGGCTTTTGACTGAATGTTCACTTGATGCATCTTTTTTCATTGTGCAATTGCTTGCTTTATTCCTATTATTCTCAATACAAGTGCTCAGTAAAACATCTAAATACCTTGAAATTATACATTCACCGGCTTTAAACTGAACAGTGAATCCTTTCGCTATTAAACTACTTACTCTAAACGTTTTCTCAATTCTGAAACCTAGGACATCTTTTACAATTACAGGATAATAGTGGTATTTCTCCATGTATGCATTTCAAAATTTCCAGCATCTTCTACTTTACTGCTGGCCCTATCAATAAAATAAATCTTTCCTTCAGCATATAATTTTGTAGGTTCAAGATCAGTTAATCAAATGTTCCTGTGTAAAAACCCTGTTCCACACCTCTGTCACTATACTGTTACAGTAATTATTTCTCTTAACTCTTTCTGAACCCCTTTTAAATGGCTTTGCTTTCAATACTGATTTTCCTTTTTTAAATATCTATCTTAGATTTAAAACAAATTTCATCTTTGTTTCTTCATTCTGATTATAATTTCCTCTCAGCTTCCTTTCCTTGTTGGAACCCATTTCCTTTTCTTAAGAAACACTATTGTTAAAGCTGCTTGAGGGATTTGTTTCTAACATACTTACAAAGGCACTGGGCATTTCAGGAAAACCACTGAGATTTGACTCAGTGACTGCTTTTTTTTCTTTCATCAATATCATGCAATAGTTTCACCACCTTTAGCATTTATTTATTTGTTCCCACATCTCTTTGATTTTCTAAAATTTCATCTTCTATAGTTCTTTCAGGAAAAAAACCCCTTGCTATTGAAGTTGTTCTTTCATACAGCTCCTGTAAAGTTTCCCATATGCACTTTGCTCTGTTCTCATTTCTTTGCATTTACAGATTATCATTAGCTAATAGAAGTCTTGACCTGTCTATTTTTCTTATCCCATTTTTCAGAATTTTCTAATGAGCTTTCTTAAATTATCTTTAGATACAAGCATATAACAGGTTTTTCTCACTTTCTGCTCGGATTATGTTCTCCCCAAACCTCGCATAAAGTGAGACACTGATGGAACAACAGGATATGGTGTCAAATTTTGGAACCCAAATGCATTGAGAAACATGCTCATTTTTAGAGCCTTTTCTTAAGGCTATTCAAACATTTTCCTCCTTACCATGTTTTGTGTACAGTTAAAGTATTTTCTTCATCTGGATTTCTAATGCATATGGTTGTTATGGCAGACAAAGAGATAGGATGCATCGCAGCACTACATATTATATTAGCATTCTTTTTAATGTTGCAACAGTAGATACACCTAGATTACAAGTTCATCCTGGGGTTAAGGATCCTTCACCAGCTTCAGCACAACACAGTATGTCCAACTTTGTTTCTGGTGTTAGATCCTTTTTGTTTTAGTTAAGGGATTTGGACAAGATGCTGATGGTTGTTTTGGCCCCATAGTAACAATTGTAGCTACTGCAAGTATGGAAGTAAGTGGAAGACAGAACACACAACTAGAACTACACAATACAATGGTAAATGTGTGAGCGGGGGCAGAAAGGGGTTTTGGAGAGAGAATGTTCAAGTGGCTTTGGATAGGAATAAACCTAGGCATGTATCCAAATCTTTGGGAATAATTGACTATGCTGGCACAAATTGCATAATAGTGATTTTTAGTTTTGTGTAAAGCAGATTTTTAGATGAAAATGATCAAGCATACAGTAGCAAAATCACATAAAGCACGGAAAACCTGTATACCTCACATTTTCACAGTTAATCTGATTCATTGACTTACCTATGCAGTTGTCAGATCTATTCTACTGGTCATATTTGCTCCTTAAAAAAGTGCTAACATACAATCACTCTTTGCTGAATATTCCTCTTTTATATACGTGTTTCATCCAGTCAACTTTTAATCATCAAAATAAACTCTCAGATCATCTGGGCTTGTTATAACTACTGCAGTGTTTTAATTCCTTTATGAAAGGGATGGGCAACCCACAACTAGAAGATTGCATTTGGTCCACTGCTATCCAGAGATTGAGTTGTGGAATTTCAGTGGCACTTTTGTTAATTTTTTTCTTCAAAATTAAAAAGAGAATAGGAATGGGAGGATTATGGGAGGCAAGCCACTCACATTTCTGCTCTTAAACCTATAAATACTTTCCAAAACCAGCCTGAAATATATTGTTTCATTTCTGTTGCTACACTATAATAAATGTCATCCAGCAGTAACAACTGAAAAGACAGGCAGTAAGAATGGTGAATGATATAAAGAATTACATAGAGAAGCACCAACATTCCATATTGCTATATCATACAGGAATGAAATTTCACTAATGCCAACCTTTGTCTATTGCTTATTTTAAACAATGTCAACCAAGCTAGTGGAAGCTTATTCAACAAATCATGTCTTAAGATGATGTGTGAACTCAATGACACCTAAACCAGATGATAGGTTAGGACAAGCAAATGATTCCTCAGATAAGAATCATGACAATTTAGCTTTATAGGCCAAGATCAGCACTTCACGTCGGAGCCCAGAAACCAATGAATCATAATTATATGTACCTATTTTAAGAGCCACAAAGAGGATGACTCCAAACTCTGAACCAGTTGAAGCTTCTGAGCTATGTTTGCTAATCTCCCAGAATGGTCCAGGAATTTCTAAATTTGTTGCCATACTACCCCATCTAGAGATGCTGGGTAGATCATAACATACAAAATCACAAATTCAGGGTAAGGGGATGGGTTGGATTAACATGGGATGGATATCTCTAAATTGCTGTGTCTCCAGTTTATAGACTCCAGCAGAGATGTACAGGCAGTGTGTGGGAAGAGCAATATTTTGAGACCAAAACAACCATCCCAATATATTACTAACCACTTAGCAAGCTGTCCACACATGAAGGTGAAACAGCCCAATCTGAAAATGGAAATCAGTTGTTCATTTCTCCATCACTTGGTCAAAGTAGTCAGGTTCTGATATTCAAAGTAAATAATTGATGCCAATTCAATAATATAAGTAGATAAGTAAGATGTAAATAGTAAATTAGCAGATTTATGGTTTTGGCTGAATCAAGTTCAACTCAGGGTGACTTCATGCACATGTCCACATAATCTTCTTGGCAGAAGTGCTTTGTCAGTTTCCAATCTAGACTATAACCTGGTATTCCTTGAAGGGTTCACATTCCAAGTTCTAACTAGGCCTGATCCTGTTTTCTGAAGCCAGAAAAGATCAGCAAGACATTGGCATCTGCTAAGACAAGGAGTAGATGGGGGGAGAACATAATGTCATAACTCACCTAGAAACAAATAAGCTGAAACAATACAAAAGTCCCATGCAGACTTACAGAAAACTTATTTAAAGCTGCAGCAAAGACTGGCTGTGGGCACAATACATTTAACCAGGTCAGTTAGACATCTAATTAATCTAAACACATCACTAAATATAGTTAGTGTTACACTTGTTTTATTTTCTTGTACAAACTTAGTCCATTTGATTAATATGTGGTTCAATGTATTTTGTGAAGCCAGAAAATGGGTAAATTAATTGACCAGATTAAGTGTGTAATGAGAATGCAGTAGCTGTCTCTAAGTCTCTGGAAAATAGAAGTGCAATGCAAACACATATTTACTGGGCACAGGGAGTGGGGTGGGGAAATCCAAGACTGGCTTCAACTGGTGTTAGCAAACCTATTCTATGCTGATTTTAAAAGGAGCCCATATAGCCTTTAAGTACTATAACTTGATAACTAAAACCAAGTGCATTTTGTAAACAGAGGCCACAATTGGCAAGGAGTTCAGATTGATAAAAAACATTTCTAGTAACCACTGCCCTTGGTTCTAGCCATGGTCCTAGCCATCTGGGTGTACAGTTACAAGGGCTTGGGGAGATGAGAGGAGATGGGGTGCTATTTCCATCTTCATTCCACTCTGCCATCTGAGACACAGGTTTGTATTACACTAATTATTTTTGCTCTTACATTCCATGATGAACTATGTCAACTGAGAAATACAATCAAGGATGAGCCCAAGTATTATGCTAAACTGTAATGTGGTTTGTTTTGTTTTTGCTAATCACGATACAGATAAGCCTAACCATTGTGGCTTGCTGAGTACGATTTAGCATGTTGTGCATGAACCAGTCCATTATGGTTTGTTCAACAAACTGGTTCAGAGTGAACCATGCCTTTACATTGTGTTTGAACCCAGCTAGTGTTGAGGGCAAATATCAATTATTAGGACAGAGATTGTGCTAAAAGCAGAATTACTAGCTGCGAGGCTTATAATCATCTTTATATATAAATATAAAGCATAAAGTGAAAGCATAAAGTTTTTCTCTGATGGGAAAATATCCCAGAAATCTAAGCCTGAGTAGGCACTGGTGTCTGTAAGCTCACCCACTCACACGTAGTGATGTGTTTTCCTTCTGTCCCTGAGATGGGAGGAAGGTATGTTGTTTTGAAAACCACAGCTCCCACTGCTGTCTTTTTACTGCACCATGTCAACAAGGCTGGTAATGTTACTGCCCACATGGAAAATAACAGGGGTTGCTTTGTGGGTAGCAGCTGGTTAAACAGCTTTCCCATTGACTTTCCCTCTCCCTTACACCACGGCCATGTGCTTGAGGCACTGGTTTAGAGAAAGACCTGCCCACTCTTCCCTTGGTTACTTGCTGCTCTAGTCCAGGTGCCTCCAAGCAGCCAGCATTTTTGACACATACACTTCCAAAGTAGCTGGTTGGCAAAACATCTGGGTGGTTAATGGTGGGGAGGTGGGGACAGAATCAATCTGCCTGGGAGGCACCATCACAGAAGGTAAGAGGTGGGTCTAAACTCCTCTTTTAATTCTAAACTCATCCTGAGCAAGCAAACAAGCCATTGAGACCAGTATCACTCCACACCATGTCAACTCTTAACAGAAGGGAAATCCAATCTTGTAAGATGGTATGGAAAAGGGAATATCATCCTCATGGAAGATCTGCATCTTGTCTTCTACAATGTTGATATTCTGGTGACCAAAAGAAAAAAGCTGTTGGATGAAGTTCTGTTTTCTCTAGCAGCCAAAGGAAAAATGGTCACAGAGGCACAGAATCTCATGGGCAGATGAGAGGGGGCAGTCCTACAGTGGGCCAGTTGGAGCCCTGCAGAACACCAATCCTTTGAAGACTCTTCCATGGGATATAGAGTGTTTGCATAGGGAGGTTTTCTTGTGTTTTCCAATAGAAAACATAATTTTCCTGCCAGATCATCTTGATCCAGCTCCAGCCTGCCTTAGAAGCTTTCTGACGCCAAGATGGAGGTTGGCTCCATTGTCAAGAAATGTCCCCAACAACCAGTAAGTGGGCTATCAATTTTAAGAGCCCTTAAAATTGAATGAAATGACTTGGCTACAAGTATATTAACTGGTTGAATCCATATGTTGAGCTACCATTCAGCTGCAAGTTGGTTTGGAGGGAAAATTAAATATGAGCTGGCAAGAACTGTGGGAAAGAGCTAATATTAGAAGTTCACTCTGTGGAACAGATCAGCAGAAAACATGGAAGCGAAAAGAAGTACAGAGCAGAAAGTTCAAGTCTTGAGGGGTAAAAGGCTTGAAGTTAAGATCTACTGAACTGTGAACCTGTGCTACTATTCTTGTGAAGAAGCAGTCCTGTTCTATCAAGAAGCCTGAATGTAATCTATCAACCTTTGCTGGGAGGGTGATGTGGGAAGAATTTAGAAAGAAACAATTTGTATTTTGGGTAGAAATTTGAAGGAAAAAATCTATAGACTTTAGGAGAGGAATGTAGGATTGGCAAATGTCCAACCATGTCTCTCACATACCCGACACCTCCCCCTTTAACAGTAACTAAGTAAGCACCACTGACATTTTAATTTATCTTTTTGTATCTTTTAGTTTCTTTGTCAGATCTTTATTCCAATAACACACTATCTAAATTAAAAGGGGGAAAAGTAATACATTACTTTTATTAGGATTTCATTTTTAAGGATCAGTGAAGCTTTCCTTAAGCTGCAGATCTTGTCTTTTTAATTTTATTCTGGCTGATTTTCTGCTCCACTTCAGCATTTTGTTAACATCTAGTCTGACAAAGACCTCAGAAGATTGCTCACTGCTAAGTGACCTTTTTGTTGGTAACATTGCAGTGCCCATTTAGCCTTTCTCCCTTTGTGTGCCCATAACCACCATCATTAAGACCTCTTTTGCCTTCAGTGTCTGCCACAAATTCCTTATTTAATGGTTTGGTGACATCATTCTTTTAGCCAATGGTGAACTTTTTTGAAATCATGTGTTATTTTTACGTTAATGTTGGTGGTGGGTGATTAACAATGACCACCAGATAAGTAATAGGGCATGAAACCTTCCCCTGTTTCTAACCAGTGAAGATAACAATAGTCAAACTGTTTATAAGCCAAAGCTTTTTCATTAGCCTGTGGGAAAATATGATAATAATTTCAGTCCACCAACTAGCGGTACTGAATTCGCATCACTGTTCTCCCCCGGGTATTGCCAGCGTCAGCACAAAGAACCTTTCCCCGCCCTGCCTCCTCCACATGGGGAATTGGAAGACGGTTTCAAACATGCATGTGCAAATAACTTGGATCAGGCATGAGTCCAAGATAATGTTTCCCATTTCAGAGAGATTTATCTTGTTTTCAGATCAGTGCCTGACTCTGGTCTGATGTGGTCCAGGGCAAAGCAGGCTGGTTTCAAAGCTGTGGACCAACTTTGGAGGGTATAAGTTATTTTTGTAGGCCTAGTTTGATTTATTCTTGCCCCTCCCATAATCTCTCTGTAAAAGGACAGTTTTGGGGGGGGGGAGGGGGGACAAAAGAGAAGGCACATGGTTTCAAGCTGAAAACTTTATAAGGGCTTTCTAGTCTCAATATTTTTTGGAGGAACAAAGCCATCTGGTTCTTTCTTTTTGGTCAAGTG